CATCCCAGCAGCCCCCAGTCGGGTGGTCCCAGGCCACGCCCAGAAGACAGCCAGACCTGGGCTCACAGCCAGCTCCATCACTAACCTCCCTTCCATTTGGCTTTCTCCCTGGGTATCCCCACTGCACTGTCCTCAAAGATAGGGGGTTCTGTCGCCACAGGCCCCCCATTACAGAAAACCCCACAGATGCCGTGGTCGTCCAGAGCCTTGCTGAGCTACAGCTTTCTGCCACTCTTGTGGGTGGTGAGAAAACCTGGCAGAGGCGTGCTGGAGGGACGGCACCCCCTCGGCCTTCTTCCCTCCCTCCCCAAGAGCAAGGCCAGGTGGAGGGAGACTCTGCCAGGGAACTGGCTGCTTGTGGTGGGGGATGTGGGCAGACCATCGTCCGCCTTATCTCCCAGTGCCCCTTGTGGTGACAGGTGCCGACACCCTTTCCTGGGGCCTCAGGCTGCCATGATGCCTCCCCAGCTCCCTGCCCCTCCCCCATGGGCCCACCCTTCTCTCAGGTCTTTGCTTGGACCTGCCTGGCCGTGACTGCTCTGGGAGCAGGCGTGGTGGGTTTGGGTTCCACAAGGTCCCCGGGTTGAACAGCTGCCAGAGAGCCTGGATTAGAGAAGACAAATGTGTTCCCAGCTGTGTTCCCAGGGCCCACCCATAATGCTTAGCTGTTAGAACATGGGGTGGCCGCTTTTGGGCTGTGGATTTCTGTTTTGGGTTGGAGTAAGTTTTGCTCTTTCAGCTACTGAGGTGCCTACACAAAATCCTGGATTGCTTTTTTTTTTTGACAGTCTTGCTCTGTCACCCAGGCTGGAGTACGGTGGCATGATCTCAGCTCACTGCAAACTCCACCTCCCAGGTTCAAGCAATTCTTGTGCCTCAGCCTCCCAAGTAGCTGGGACAACAGGTGCCCGCCACCATGCCCAGCTAATTTTTGTATTTTTAGTAGAGATGGGGTTTCACCATGTTGGCCAGGCTGGTCTTGAATTCCTGACCTCAGGTGATCTGTTCGCCTCAGTCTCCCAGAGTGCTGGGATTACAGGCGTGAGCCACTGAACCTGGTCCTGAATGGCTTTTCAAAAAAATATGGTAAAAAGAAAAATAAAATTTACCATTGTAAATAGAATTTCCACCTCTGGAGTGTAGAGTTCAGCAGCATTAAGTGCATTCGTTCACTGGCGTGCAGCCCTCGGGACCACCGCTCTCCAGCACTCACCTTCCCAATCCGAAACTGTACCCATTAAATCATAACTCCCCATGCCCCCTCCCCCGGCCCCTGGCAACCAGCCTTCTAGTTTTTGTCTCCGTGATTTTGGCCACCCTGGGTATCTCCTGTCAGTGGAATCAGGCAGTATGCGTCTGTCCACGTCTGGCTTCCTTCACTTGGCATCATGTCCTCAGGTTTCCTCTGTGTCACAGCACGTGTCAGAACTTCCTTCTTTAAGGCTGTCTGTATTGCTTTTGACTACTGCTTTATGTCTTATACAAACAGTACAAAATACGGAAATCCCGAGATCAGTGTCTTCTTAAACTCTACTCTTCTTACCTCCAGCGGGGCACAGAAACTCAGGGGTCCCCAGGCAGCATCAAGCGGCCCCTCCATTTCCGCAGCTGCTCCTCCCTGGGGCAGCAGGAGTACAGTCACCCTCCTTCCACAGAGCGCCCTCTTCCTAGTTCACGAAACTCTGCCACATCTGGCCTCAGTGGGAGGGGAGTGGAGCCCGTTAGGTTCTCACCTGTCCCCTGGGGCTGCGGTGTGGTTGTGCGTGCCTCGCCCCAGGCCCCAGAGCTCTGGCCAGCCCTCCTTGCAGGCCCCCAGGATCCAGGGACTATGCTGCTCCCACACATTCTGCTCTGGGTCCCCACAGTCCCCAGAGGGGCAAGGGGCTCTGAGGGCTGAAGCCAGAACATGGGAAGGGTCAGGAATTTGAAAATGCCAAGACAGGAGGGAATGGAGGTACTTTATATGTATATACACACTTACATACACACATACATACACACATATATATACACACACATACACACCGCCCCCCCACACATACACACACACGTTATTGCGTTTTAGGTTTGGGGGTACATGTGAAGAACATGCAAGATTGTTGCATAGGTACATACATGGCAATGTGGTTTGCTGCCTTTTTTTTTTTTTTTAATCAACTTTTAAGTTCCAGGGTACGTGTGTAGGATGTACATAGGTAAACGTGTGTTACACAGGTAAATGTATGCCATGGTGGTTTGCTGCACAGATCAACCCATCACCTAGGTATTAAGCCCAACACTCATTAGCTACTTTTTTTTTTTTTTTTTTGACATGGAGTTTAACTCTTGCTGCCCAGGCTGGAATGCAATGACGGCGCAATCTTGGCTCACTGCAATCTCTGCCTCCCGAGTTCAAGTGATTCTTCTTCCTCTGCCTCCCAAGTAGCTGGGATTACAGGCATATGCCACCATGCCCGGCTAACTTTTTTGTATTTAGTAGAGATGGGGTTTCACCATGTTTCTCAGGCTGGTCTGGAACTCCTGACCTCAGGTGATCCACCCGCTTCAGCCTTGCAAAGCGCTGGGATTACAGGCATGAACCACGGTGCCCGGCTCATTAGCTACTTCTTAAAAGGAGTCTTTCCTCCAGTGCAGCTGTGGGTCCAGCAAGAAGTAGGGTTTACTTCAGACACCCACCAACTGACACCATTTCCCATCTCCTTCCTCCTTTGGTGAAATCAGCCTCAGAGTTGCACCCACCCCAGAGCACCTTTGATTCCAGCGCCTCAGGCATGTTGCGGTGCACACACACCACTGGGGCTCGGTTACAGTGCAGACGATTCTATTTCAGTTGGTCTCTGTGGGGCCTGGGATCCTGCACTTCTAACCAGCTGCCAGGTGACATCCAGCTTGTGGGCAAGGCTTAGGAATGCCTGGCTCCTGTTTCAGACCTTGTGCATGTCAGTTTCTTGGAGGAAGGCTGGCTACTCCCCAGGGCGTGCTGCACAGTGATGAGTTAATGGCTGGGTTTAGAGACTGGTCTTCCCTGGGGCAGCTGAGTGGCACTGTCCTCCTGGCTTATTCACTCCCTAGGGTTGAAGCTGTGCCCAGAGGCAGTGAGTCACCAGAGGGTCTCCTTCTCCCTGCTGTCAACGGCATCTTCAACTGCCAATGGAGAGCCGCTCTGTGCAGAGGGCGCCAAGATGAGGGCCCAGCGGTGCTGGCCCTGCTTCCAAAAAGTCCCCAAGTGGCGGGGGTGCCACCAGGGCTAAAAGAGCTAGAGGAGCAGAGGATCTGAAGGTCATTGTCATACTTCAGAAGTGAAAAGCCAGTGTCCCCTTCGCCAGGTTACGGGAGGTTAGTGGGCCTCTGGCAGGAAGGACCCCCATGACTCAGCTCAGAGCAGGCTGCTGGGGGTGTGTTCCCCCACCCAGTTCCCACGGGCGTCTCATCATGCCCTCTGTCCACCAAGGGCCCCAGCGCCCAGCTGAAAACTGCCCTCAGCTTCCAATCTTGACTTTAACAAAATTCAGGGTCCAGGAAACTAAAAGTAAATTATGTTTTCCGGCCCCCTGGCGCCCGGGTGAGTCAATCACTTTCTCAGCATTCACCTGCTTTCCTGTCATTCTGGTACCTCTGGGGATGAAGACTAGAAAGACAGCGATGACATAAGCACGCTGCTATGTTGGTGAATTCCGGGAAGGTCACAGACAGGCAGGATGGGCTCATTCTGGGGGAAGGAAGGTTCAGCGGGATGGCCCCATGCCACGTCGGGGGCTAGGCAGTGGCAGAGCTGGGCTCAGCCCTACATCTGCTGCTCCCAATCTGACTTTAGCTCTTTGCTTAAACATTTACTCCCGGGTGCTGAGGATGTGGCCACTTAGAAGGAACGGTTTTACCAGGCAGTTTTTCGGGAGGCCACAGAAACCCCGGTTTCTAAAAAGGTCCTTTGGCCTCAAACAGCCACCCCTCATCCAAGCCGCTGGCGGCATGGTCCGCTGCTCGCGGTCTGCGGGGGCCTCGCCTGGCTCTGCGTTTTGCTTTCCGTCCTCACTGAGCAGACTGGCTCCTGCGACTACCCCTCCGACTGTCCCCCACCTTTGCCCTCTTAGGGGGAGGCGCGAATGGTCAAACCCGGATCCTGCTTGCTTGGCAAGGTCCGCATTGTCAGTCCGCAGGCAGGCGGCTCCCAGACACACTGCCTCACCTGGACTGCGCCCCCCTCAGCCAGGCTGCTCCATCCCATTCCCCCCGAGGAATCGACCAGGCCAGTGTTAGCTCAGCCACGTTTCCGTTGCGGCCCAGCTGGTACCCAGGATCCCCTCCCATCGGCAGCACTGGGGTTCAGATACACCACGGGTGCTGCTTCCTTAGATCATCCCAGACAGAGCCACTTGCCCCGAGCTGGCCAGCAGCCGCAAGCTCAAAGCCCACGGGGGTGCCTCCATTCCCAGCAACACTCAGCAGAGGCATGGACAGGGCCAGCAGTCAGGCAGACCTACATCCTGAGCCCGGCTCCCCACGGGCTTTCCCTGTGCATTGGGATGGGAACCCCGATTTCATTTCTAAAAATGTGGTCCTATAACTGCCCTCTTGGAGTCACTCTAATTGCTGTTACATGCGGTCGTGAATGCAGGTCCTTGCACACGGGGGTGCCCAAACGCTGTTCTGTTCCTCCTTCTTCTAGCCAACTGAGCAGCTCAGGACCAGGGAAGCAGCACATTTAGGACAACATAATCAATCATCATAGTAAACACAACCCTCAGCTTCCTCTAAAGCTCGTTCCAAAATGAGAAGATTGGTGTAGCAGGAGGAGGATGTGACTATAATGAGAACCTGCACATGTTTACCTAAAACTCAGCCCTGCTGTACTGTCCCCCAAGATGGAGAGAAAACCTGAAGTCCAGCAGTTCAGCAAGGGCACGCACAGCACGGGTGGAGGGCCAGGGCCAGACAAGCTCCAGTGGAAACTGCTCAGGCCAGGTTTTGCAGTCTTCTCGTTCAATAAGAAATCCCTGTGCAACTGGCCAAGTCAATATTTTATTAAAAAACACACAAACACATGCACAATGGTAACAGAGGCAGAGACGGAGAGGAGACATGAGGTCTCCTTGGGCACAGGCTGACCACATAGTGTTTCTACAGGCACGCCTTGCTTCAGGAAAGTGGGTATCTCTAAGACCCACTGACAACCAGATAAATTAGGAGGGGGCTTTGTTTCTTAAGGCTTCACTCCCCTGAGAAGTGAGAATTAGAAGGGATTTGGGCAGGAGTATTCACAAACCCCTCCAGCTGTGCTAAGTGGGGGGTGTCAGTACCTGAGGTGGTTCTAGAAGCAGGAAGGCCGAAAACAGAATTCCCTGGAGGCTGCTTTCCTTTCCCAGAAGGGAGGGATGTTCCCCCAGAAGGTGGCAGAAAGGGTTTCCTGCCCACTCAGGCGCTCAGGGAGCTGGCTTCCTGGGAAAGCAGGAAGAGGGTGCAGGCCTTTCCTGGTGCCCACCAGCCTGGCAGGACTTTGGCACAGGAACACAGGTCCAGAGGCCTCGCCTGGGGCACATGTCCTCTCTCTGCAAAGCTCCTGAGGGCCCGAGGGGCCGTGGCCTCATCAGACAGCTGCATCTTGGGAAGGAAATGGCAGTCAGGACAGTTTGCCACGGGCGGGGCCACCCACAAGCCACACTCTGCAGGCTTGACTCCAACTTCTGCTCGGGGGAGGACTTGTGTCTTCTACCCAGTGCCAACTGTCACTGAGATTATTCTTTTTTTTGGCGGAGGGGGGTGCACGGGGACGCGGGGGGACGCGAGGGGACGGAGTCTCGCTCTGTCGCCCAGGCTGGAGTACAGTGGCGTGATTTTGGCTCACTGCAATCTCCACCTCCAGGGTTCAGGCAATTCTTCTGCCTCAGGCCCTGGAGCAGCTGGGATTACAGGCACACACCACCACACCTGGATAATTTTTGTATTTTTAGTAGAGACAGGATTTCACCATGTTGGCCAGGCTGGTCTTGAACTCCTGACCTCGTGATCCACCTCAGCCTCCCAAAGTGCTGGGATTACAGGCATGAGCCACCACATCTGGCAGATTATTCTATTTTTAAAAAATACATTGCTAATAAAGACAAAAACTTCAATAGTGCAGAGGAGACTCCCATTCCACTCCCCCACCTCAGTCTTACTCCTCGGCAGTAACCCCCTTAAACCCTTTAGCTGTTTCTTTTGGTGATTCTTCCATAATTTAAAAAACCGATTTATGCCAGTATTTATAGATTTATCCTGTTAGACATCACCTATTAACTTTTTCCCCATATATTCTCTACTTAAAAAAAAAATCATTCTTTTTTTTTCTTAAACAGCTTTACTGGGATATTTTAATAATTAACATATCATACAATTCTCCCATGTAAAGTGTTTCTCGGTATAGTCACAGGACCGTACAACACCAATTTTAGAACCTTTTCATTACCTCAAAATGAAACCTTATCCTCATTAGCAGTCACTCCTGAGTCCTCCCCCCCCAGCCCCAGCCTGCCACGGATCTACTTTCTGTCTCTATGAATCTGCCTGTTCTAGACAATTCTTATGAGTGGAATCCTGCGCCACATGGGCTTAGTGTAGGATTCCATGAGTAAGGCCCTCAAATAGGAGGCAAGTTAAATAACTGCACGGTCACGCCATGGCTTAGTGCTGCGACCCACGCAGCCACTGAGAATTCCTGATGATGCTGGGAAAATGGGAGCTAGGTGGCTAAGCAGGAGGAAAGAACAGGTGATGAAACAGCATAACAAAAGAACAGGTGGTGAAGCAGCACAACAAGTTTGATCCTTTTAAGAAAAGCAACAGATATGAAAAAAGAGAAAATACTGGAAGGATAGACACTCAGTGCTACCTCTGGGTAGTGTGGTGACAGATGGCTTTTTCTTAATTTTTTTTAGAGACAGAGCCTCACTGTGTTGCTCAGGTTGGTCTTGAACTCCTGGCCTCAAGTGATCCTCTTGTCTCAGCCACCCGGGTAGCTGGAACTGTAGAGGTACACACCGCTGTCCCTGGCTCATATGGTTTCTACTAAAATTATTTTTTGTTATCTGTATTTTCTAAAAATCTACATTTTATCTGTGTCATTAGGAAACTTAAGAAAAAGTAGGCTGGCTGGGCACGGTGATTCATGTCCATAATCTCAGCACTTTGAGAGGCTGAGGTGGAAGGACTGCTTGAGCCCAGGAATTCTAGACCAGCCTGGGCAACACAGTGAGACTCCATCTCGTAAAAAAAAAAATAATAATTGAAATTAGGCATGGTGGTGCATGCCTATAGTCCCAGGTACTCAGGAGGCTGAGGCTGGAGGATCACTTGAGCCTGGAAGGTGGAAGCTGCAATGAGCTGTGATCGTACCACTATACCAGCCTGGACAGCAGGGCAAAACCCAATCTCAAAAAAAAAAAAAAAAAAGTAAAGAAAGAGAGCGGGCTGGGCACAGCGGCTCGCACCTGTAATCCCAGAACTTTGGGAAGCCGAGGTGGGTGGATCATGAGGTCAGGAGTTCAAGGCCAGCCTGGCTAACATGGTGAAACCCTGTCTCTACTAAAAATACAAAAAATTAGCTGGGCGTGGTGGCAGGCACCTGTAATCCCAGCTACTTGGGAGGCTGAGGCAGAGAACTGTTTGAACCCAGGAGGTGGAGGCTGCAGTGAGCCGAGATTGTGCCTCTGCACTCCAGCCTGGGCAACAGAGCGAGACTCTATCAAAAAAAAAGACGCTGGGCGCAGTGGCTCTTGCCTGTAATCCCAGCACTTTGGGAGGCCCAGGTGGGTGGATCACCTGAGGTCAGGAGTTCAAGACCAGCCTCTACTAAATACAAAAAATTATCTGGGCGTGGTGGTGCACGCCTGTAGTCCCAGCTAAGTGGGAGGCTGAGGCAGGGGAATCACTTGACCTGGGAGGCAGAGATTGCAGTGAGCCAAGATCATGCCACTGCACTGCATCCTGGGCGACAGAGCGAGACTCTGTCTCAAAAAAAAAACAAGCAAGCAAGCAAGAGAAAAAAAGTTTGGCCACCTGAGGCTGAAGTGCTAGGGCATCCTTGGACATGTGAGATGGGAATGTGAGCAGAGGTTCTGCGGTGACATCTCCCCTTTGCCACCCCCTGAGCTCTAATGCGACTTCTAAAGTCCCCTTGGGACACCCTTCTCAACAGCAGGGTTCGTCCCTACGGTTGAAGTCAAGAACAAGCCGCCCCCCTGTTCCTGAGAGCCTCTGTGCACAGATGACCAGAACTCACCTGTGGACTGGGTTACACAGGAGACCTTGTAGGACAGCCACATGCTTGCCATGCAGAGAAAGGTGGCCACAAAACCAAAGATCTGCAGTGGAGAGAGGGGAGAGGACGTTCACGGCCATAGGGCCAATTCCTTGGGCAATCCTGCCTGCTTCTCATGTCTGTGCTTGTTCCCTTTACGTCCCTGGCCAGAAAGGAGCTTGGAGAGTCATCTAACCCAACCACCTTGTCCTTGATCGGGAACAGAGAGGAAGCCCAGAGAGGCCCAGCCACTGGCCCCGGTCCCCCAGGTTGGGCCAGGTCAGGGCTGGCAGCCAGGCCTCTCGGTCTTCACTCCTGGCAGCTCCAGGGCCCGGTTTGGGTTTACGTTTACAAGCGAGCTGGGGCTAAGCCAATGGACTTTGATTATCCTGGACAAGTAGAAAAGAAAAGGGTGAAATTTTAATTTGGGTTTAGAAAATCCGAACGTTTCCATGGTTCGTGGTGTGGTGGTGGTGTTTGCATTTCATTTGCGATGGCTTTCTGTTCTGTTCTGGCTTGATAGCCGTGTAAGAGCCAGAAGCCGAGGCCTTTACATCTAGGTTTATGTTTGTACATATTAAACAATATGAGACTAAACGAAGTCAAGGCAGCACCCTTTCCCTTTCTCAGTGTCGATCTGGCGCTCAAGCGTGAAGAAGGCTGACCTAGCCCAGCCCCCTCACTTGTAGATGAGGATTCAGGTGCGAGGAGAGGAAGAATGCCCCATGAAGTGGTCGAGGGGAGGCAGGTAGCTTCTGGAATCTCTGGGCTTTGAAGCCTGCAGGCATTTGCCTTACTTGTGAATAACACTGGCAGCTGCATGGTGAAAACTTACTGACCACTTAGAACAGAGCCGTGTGTTGATTCCTTTAACCCTCACAGCTCTGCTGGCTGGGTGCTAGGATTACCCACCCCTGCTCCTCCATTTCACGGCTAAAGAAATAGAGGTACAGGAAGGCAACTCTTTTGCCAAAGGCCACAGAGCCAGCAAGGGCCAGCTATGGGATGGGAGCCCAGGGAGCCTGGCTCCAGAGTCCATGCTTTGCCGTGCAGGTGCCTAGGTGTCCTCAGACCCACACAGCAGCGTCTGGCTCCCTACACCGCCACGGTGTCCGGTGAGAATGACGCAGGGGCAGCCAGCTAAGGGTAGGATTTTCAACAAGGTTTGGTTTTCTTTTCAAGCCCAGCTGCTGCTTTACATAAACAGCTGCCCCCACCAGCGCACACCCACTGCTTCCCCGGGTTCCTTTCCCTGGGCTCCTTTTGTACCAATTGTCTGCAGCACATAATTAGCCCATTAGGGCCTGTCCCGGCCTCTCATTGTCTGTTCTGCACAATTAGCACTTTATATACCATCCCGGCCCCCAACCGTCTGCGCTGCATAATTGAACACTTTATTATATCGCTACAGAATGCTATTCTAGACTACAGTGCCTTGTTTGCTAATTGTTTCATGTGTCTTGTCTCCTAAGCTAGATGACCACTTTCTTATCAGCACAGGCCATATTTTAAAAATTTCTTCTAACTTCCCCACAGCTCAGGTTTGGTCCCAGACACACAGACAGCATAGGATGAATGTTAGCTTATAGAGGTTCCAGGGCTGAGCGGATTCCCAAACACAGTGGGAATGTCCCCATGTGGGCCCGAAAACACAGTGGGCACAGGCCTCTTCCACCAGCCTGCTCTGTACTGGGCAGGCGTTAGCTGCAGGGGCAACCATCCCTCTCCTCAGCGATGGCAGAGAAAGGGGCAGAGGGGTCGGAGGGCGGGCTGTGGAAGGGCCACTCTCTATAGTGACCTTCTGCCCCCATGCTGACCTTCAGAGGAGAAACTCCATCCTGCAGTGGAATTCCAGGAGCCAACCCACTCCCAGGCCAAAGTCTGGAAGATTTTGGTAATATGTGTAAATGAAGTACCGTGAGTATCACATACAGAGAGAGCTTTCCTTTTCTCTTTTTCTTTTTTTAAGACATGGGGTCTCATTACATCACCCAGGCCAGGCTGAAACCTCTGGGCAGATGCACTCCTCCCGAGCGCCTGGGGCTACAGGTGCATGCTACCACATCTGGCTCAAGAGAGCTTTTCTTAAAACTCATTTTTAAAATCTCGTCTGCTCATCAGTGAAGCAAATCAGTATTGGCCCACAGGCCACTGAACTATAAACAGTTAGCTAAATCAGCAATCAGATGACAGGAATCTATGAATCTTTAAAAAACAGTACATATGACTGTATGTATATAAACATAGATATGTATGTATATATCTCACAGCACTGCATTTTTGTATATTTCCATCTACTTCTATTTATGGCCAGCAAATGGATCAATTTTTGCCTGAAAGATACAGGAGGATTATTTCCTGGCCTGAATCCTGTTAAAAATCAGGAATGGCAAAGCCCAGACTCATGGCAGGTATCTCTAATTGATCACAGTGCATTCCCCTCTGGGCCCAAAAGAGGCCACAGAATCTGTCTCTGCACAGGGCAGAGGCAGCCAGCGAACAAATGATCAGAGTGAGTGTGTGAATTAAAACCCTCCTGGTCCCCTGATTGCAGTAGTGGCTATAAAAGAGACAGGCCAGGCTGCTGGGGCTCGGGATTTGCTGGCAGCCCTGACAATCCACCTTCTGGGACTGTGAGCCTCCGCTCACCGCTCTTTGGAGAGAGCTGATGGCTGGATGAAGGTAGGTGTTGACAATTCTGTGAAAGGAATGCTCCGGAAACCAACCCCTTTCCTTCCCCCATCAGGAAGAAAACGAGCATTTTAAATATGAATTCATTCCTAAAGGCTCCCCAAAACGTCCTCACCGCTCCGGCTACCAGTCCGCTCTGGTTGTAACTCTTGGAAGCTGCCACGATGGAAGCGATGAGGAGGAGCAGGGTACCGATTAAATAGTGCAGAAGTTCCTGGGGGCAGAAACAAAGCAAAGAAGTGGGTAGGGTGGTCCGTTCCTGGTTTGGGAAAAGATGAAAAGAAAGGGAGAGAGTGACGCGTCCTCTTCTCCCTCGCAACACGCAGATGGGATGAGAGTGCAACTCGCAGGCAGCCAGCGTGGGGCTGACCAGGAAGAGGCCGAGCAAGACAGAAGTGATGCTGGGCAGGCAGGAAGGGAAGAGGAGAGCGAAAGGAAGCTTCTCGTGTGGGCAGGGATAGCCACTAAGGACGCCTCCACTCCTGAGAGCAATCTGCGGACAGGGCCTGACCTCTGGCTCAAGCTACAAACAGCAGATGAGCGTCCTGCAACTTCCAGGCTGGAGAGTTAAACAAAGCCCCAGCTCTGAGAAGCAAAGTGCCTTAAAGAGATGTGTGCCCTTCTCTTCTGCTTCAGAAACGTTCTGGGCTAACAATGGGCTGGTCTTGTGTGGTTGACCGGAGCATCTGCCCGCTCTGTGAACGGCCCCGAGTGTGGACTTCAGAGGCATCCGCTCCCCCCGCCCATCAGACTCAGACTCTAGATTGAGGTCAGTGCACTTGTGTGAAGAGCCCGTGGACGTGTGGTGCCGCGGCTTCTCACTCCTGAGCCTTCCTGCCTTCTTTTGTTCTTGTTGTTCCCTCTTCTCTCATCTCCAGAAGAGTACCCTCTGGCCAAGCTCTGCCAGTGAATCCACTGGCAGGACTGGCTTCACCTTTGCTTCTCGCCTTGGCGCGTGGGTCCTGCATTTCCACCCATTCACTCATCGTGATGAACCGGCATCCTTGCACACCCTAGATGAGACTGGGCTTTCCAGTGGCGAGGGAAAGCTTCCATGTCACCCTTCCTCTTCCCCATTAAACGCCAGATCAGAGAAGAACTGAGGCTGGGTCCCTTCCAGTGCTTACTCTGAATCCAGAGGGCATCCGTTGTCAGTTGTCTTCAATGAGAATTTAGAAATCATTCCTTCATGAAGTTCTGTCCCTTGGGGCAGGCAGTAATTACATTCTGGAAAAGCATTCCAATTTAAACCTGTGGCTCCTCTCAAAGCTATGCAAAGTCAAAGACCCTGGTCTCTCCCTTAGTGACTAGAAAGGAATATCACAAGATAGATCACAGAGATTTTAACTAAAGGGCAGATGAGGAACTGCAATTTCCCCACCTCCAAGATTCTCACCAATTAAGAAAGAAGAGGAGAGGAGGATGACATGGGACAGAGAAAACCAACTTGAGAGAATCCTAACTGCAAGTATCTAAATACTTTCTCAGCCAAAAATGTGTGGCTGAGTCTGTCCTTCCAGCTTTCATTCCCCACCGAGCCCACTTTTGGGTTTGTCCCTGAGCTTTTGTTCTCTCCTTTGCTTGTTCAGTATCAGCATCAGGGAAGCCCAAAGGAATCTGTTCTCAAAAGAAGCAGAAAAAAAATGCCATAACTTTGAAAGGGGCCTTAGAACTTAGAAACAAAAGAAATTTCTCTCAAAATAACAGTGGGTAATAATGTTAAATGTGAACAATTAATCAAGATGCAGAGGTGGTCAGATCGGATTAAAAAACAAGCAAAACAAGAAATAACTACAGTATGTTCTGTCTATGGGAGAGAGACTTTATATTCAAAGCCAAGGATATGGCATGCAAACAGCAAGCAAAAGAAAGCCAGGGTGTCTATACCTAGTATCAGACAAAATAGACTCAGACACAAAAGAAGTTACTAGAAATAAAGGTGGGTATTTTCTAATAATGAAAACCTGAATCCATAAGGAAGATACAACAATCATAAACATACATGCACCTAATAAAAGAGCCAAAATACATGAAGAAACAAATGATGAAATGAAGGAGGAAAAACAGACAATTCAAAAATAATAGTTGGAGAATTCAATATCCATACTTTCATCAATGTATAGAACAACCAGGTAGAAGGTCAACAAGGAAATAGAAGATTCAAACAACACCATAAAATGACCAGACCTAAAAATCCTCTATAAAAACTCTATTCAACAAAAGTATAATATACAAATATACAATGTATAAAAGTACATTCTTCTCAAATGTACATAGAACACTGTCCAGGTTAGACCAGATATTTGACCACAAAACAAACTTCAATAAAGGTAGAAGGACTACAAAATATGTTTCCTGAACATAATGGAATCAAATTAGAAATCAAGAGCAGAGAAAAATTAGGGAAATACACAACTATGTAGAGATTAAACAACTTATTCCCAAATAATGAATGGCTCAAAAAAATCACAAGAGAAATTAGAAAATATCTGGAGATAAATGAAAATAAAGACACAATATACCAAAATTACGGAATACTAGTACAACAGTTCTCAGGGGCAGATTAAAGGTCAATATTAAAGGAGAAGGAAGTCTCAAATTCATAACCTAAACATCATCTCAGTCTGTTTGCATTGTTATAAAGGAATATCCAGGGCTGGATAATAAATAAAGAGTTGTATTTGGCTCTTGGTTCTGCAGGCTGCACAAGAAGTATGGCATCGGTACCTGGTTCTGGTGAGAGCTTCAGGAAGCTTCTACTCCCTGAAGCAAAGGTGAAGGTGAGCAGGTATCACATGGCAAGAGGAAGGAAGCAAGAAAGAGAAGGGAGGAAGGCGCCAGGCTCTCTCTAACCATCACTTCTCACAGGAACTAACAGCAAGAACTCACTTACTACCACTAGAATGGCACCAAGTCATTCATAAGGGATTTGCCCCCATGATCCAAACACCTCCCACTAGGCCCCACCTCCAACACTGGGAGTCACATTTTAACATGAGATTTGGAGGGGACAGTTATCCAAACTATATTACACATTAAGATACTAGGAAAAGAAAATCAAACTAAACCTAAGGCAAGCAGAAGAAAGAAAATAATAAAGATAAAAGCAAAATTTATTAAGATAATAGAAAAACAATAAAAAACAAAATCAACGAAACCAAAAACTGGTTCTTGAAAAGATCAACAAGATTGACAAATCCTTAGCTAGACTGATCAAAGAGAAGGGGGCGGGGAGAGAAAGATGCAAATGAAAGAGGAAACACTACTGCACTTACAGAAATAAAAAGGATATAAGAAATACAATAAACAATTGCATGCCAATAAATTCAATGACTTAGATGAAATGGACAAATTCCTAGACATATATACTACTGAAATTGATTCCAGAATAAATGACACAATCAATCTGAAAAGATTGCAAAATTGAGTTTGAATTAACAATAAAAAAAAAAATTACCCACAAAAAGAGCCCAGACTCAGATGGTGTCACTGCTGAATGCTACCAAACATTTAAGGAATAATTAATACCAATTCTGCACAAACTCTTTTAATAGATAGGAGGGAATATTTCCTAAATTATTCTGTGAGGTCAGTATTACCTTGATACTGGAACCAGATGAACATTAGAAAAAAAGAAAACTACAGACCCATATCTCTTTTAAATATAGATGCAAAAACTCTTCAACAAAATATTAGCAAACTGAATCCACCAGCATATGAAATGGGTTATACAGTATGGCCAAATGGAATTCACCTCACAAATGCAAGATTGGTTCAACATATACAAACTAATCAGGCCAGGTGTGGGGGCTCATGCCTATAATCCCCATATTTTGGGAGGCCGAGGAAGGAGGATCACTTGAGCCCAGGAGTTCAAGATCAGCCTGGACAACATTGGGAGACCTCATCTCTGCCCCCCCCAAAAAAAAAATGCCAGGCATGGTGGTGCACACCTGTGGTGCCAGCTTCGTAGGAGGCTGAGGTGGGAAGATTGCTTGAGCCTGAGAAATAAAGGCTGCAGTGAGTCATAATTATACCACTGCACTTCGGCCTGGATGACAGAGCAAGACCCTGTCTCAAAAACAAACAAAAATACACCGACAAACACACACAACAACAACAATGTAAGACACGGTATTAACAGAATAATGGGAGAAAAACCCATCTTGTCACCTCAGTAGATATGGAAAAAGCATTTGACAAAATCTAACACTGTTTTACGATAAAAACACTCAACAAAGTAGTACTAGAAGTGAACTTCCTCAGCTTGATAAAGGGTACCTACAAAACGCTCACACCCAATGTTGCATTTAATGATGAAAGAAGGAATGCTTTCCACCTAACATGAAAGAGATGATGATGGCTGCATTGCCATTTCTATTCAATATCTAATTTATTCAGTTCATTTCTTGCAATAAGGCAAAACAATGAAATAAATGGCATTTAGATTATAAAGGAAGAAGTAAAACTATCTCTATTTGCAGATCGTTTATAGTATATCCTATGGAATCCACTAAAAATATATTAGAAAAATATATTAGAACTACTAAGTAGTTAAGCACAGTGGAGGGCACAAATCAATATGCAAAAGTAATTGGACTCCTATACACTTGCAATGAACAATCTGGAAATTAAGGAAAAATCCATTTAAAATAGCATCAAAAAGAATAAAATACTTAGACACAAATTTAATTTAAAAATTTCAGGTCAGGCACAGTGGCTCATTCCTGTAGTCTCAGCATTTTGGGAGGCTGAAGCAAGAGGATTGCTTGAGCTCAGAAGTTTGAGGATGCAGGGAGCTATGATCTTGCCTCTGCACTCCAGCCTGGGTAACAGAGCAAGATCCTATTTCAAGCAAAACAGAAAAACCCCAAAACTTTTGCTCTGAAAACTACAAAACATTGAAAAAAATAAAAGATTATCTTAAAAAATGGAAAAACTTCCCATGTTTATGGATCATAAGAGTTCATATTAGGATTGAAATATTCTCCAAATTGATCTATGGATTCAACATAATTCTTATTACAATTCCAGCTGATTTTTGTAGAAATTGAAAACCTGGTTCTAAAAATCATTTGGAATTGTAATGATCCAAATCAATTCTAAAAAAGAAGAACAAATTGGGAGGCCTCACATTTCCTAGTTTTACAATGTACTACAAGGCTACAGTAATCAAAATAGTGTGATAATGGCATAAAGATAGACATATAGATCATTGGAATAGAACTGAGAGTACAGAAATAAATTCATGTGTTTAATGGTCAACTGATTTCAACAAGGTTGCCAATACGATTCAATGGGGGAAGGAAGAGTCTTTCAACATATGTTGCTGGAATAACTGGATATCTACATGCAATAGAATGAAATTGAACCCTTACCTCACACCATATGCAAAAAACACTAACTCAAAATGGATCAAATACCTAAATGTATGAACTAAAACTATAAAACTCTTGGAAGAAAACATAGAAGTAAATTTTCACAATCCGAATTTGGCAATGGCTTCTTACATATGAGAAGAAAAACATGAGCTAAAAAAGAAAAAAACAGATAAACTGAATTTATCAAAATTAAAAACTTGTGCTTTAAAGGACACCATCAAAAAAGTGAAAAACAACAGAATGGGAGAAAATATTTTCAAATCATATAGCTGATAAGGCACTTTTATCAAGGCTATAGAAAGAATTCCCATAACTCAATAATGAAAAGACAAATAACCTAATTAAAAAACAGGCAAAGGTCTCGAATAATGTCTTCAAAGAAAATATAAAAATGGCCAAAAAGCACATGGAAGGATAATTAACATCACTAGTCATTGGAGAAATGAAAATCAAAACCACAGGAAATAACACTTTACACTCACTAGAATGGCTGGAATCAGAAAGTCAGATAATAGGTGTTGGCAAGGATGTGGTGAAACTGAAACCTTCATATACTCCTGGTGGGAATGTAAAACAGTGCAGCCGCTTTGGCGTACAGTCTGGCAGTTCCTCAAACAATTAAATACAAAGTGACCCTATGACTCAGCAATTTCACTCTGAGATATATACCAAACAAAAATGAAAATATGTCCACACAAAAAACTTGTATATGAATGTTCGTAGCAGCATTATTCATAATGGCCAAAAGATGAAAACAACCCAAAGATCCACTGATGATGAATGAAAAATGAAATGCAGTCTGGTCTAGCCTTACAATGAAGTAATATTTGGTTATAAAAAGGGCTGGCATGGTGGCTCATGCCTGTAATCCCAGAACTTTGGGAGGTGAAGGTGGGAGGATTGCTGGAGTCCAGGAGTTTGAGACCGGCCTGGGCAACACAGTAAAACCTCATCTCTGTAAAAAAAAAAAATGCAAAAATTAGCCAGGTGTGGTGGCATGCACCTGTAGTCCCCGCTACGCAGGAGGCTGAGGTGGGAGGAACACTTGAGCCTGGGAGGTTGAGGCCGCAGTGAGTCATGGTCACATCACTGCACTGAAGGCTGGGTGACAGGGTGAGACCCTGTCTCTGAAAAGAAAAAAAGGAATGAAGTACTGATACCTGCTACAATACAGATGAGCCATGAAAACATTCTGCTGAGTGAAAGATGCCAGTTACAAAACACCACATATACAATTCCATTTACAAGAAATGTCCAGAGTAGAAAAATTTTAGAGACAGAAGATTAGTGATGGTTTAGGGCTGAAGGGAGGAGTGGTAGGGAGGTGACAGCTAAAAGGTATGGAATTTCTTTTTGAAATGATGAAAATGTTCTAAAATTATAGTGATGGTTATACAACTCTGGAAATAGACTAAACTCCATTGAATTGTACACTTGAAATGGGTGAACGATACAGCATGTGAACTGCCTATCAATGAAGCTTAAAAAAAGTAATAGAGTGGGAAGAAAAAGCCTGGCAACTTCGGACTGTCTCCTCAGCCCCCACTAGTCCCTTTTAGCCAGAGATCCTATCACTGAATCCTCACAACGGCATCCATACCCATCATCTTCACCTACCGTTTCCTTCTGTGTTTCTTTTCCCAGCTCACACACACACAGCCATTCTCTATTGCTTGAGGAAATAGGCACTGGAGCAATATCCACAGCCTTCCTATAGCTGGAAAGTGAGTTTTAAAAACCAGCAGGATATCAGGCAGAGATGTCCACCAAATAGGAAATTCAGGGCAGAGGCGGCAAAGAATGGTTAAAGAGGTGAGATGGGCAGACGGGAAAAACTCCGTCAGGTCTCAGTGCGCCAGCCAGCATCCTGACTTCTGCACGCAGAGGACAGGGCCAGGCTCTTACCGACAGGGGCCAGCTGATACAGGTGAGCACGCGGTAGAAGCGGAAGAGGTGGACCAGGTAAAAGGCGAGGATCATTATCAAGTCGCAAATGGTGACCACTTCAAAGTAGCTGTAGGCACTGTAGTCGGTCCACAGGGAGCTCCGCACGCATATGAAGGCAATCAGCAGGGTGACCTGCCACATAAATACAGAGACATCAGAGAACTGTTTGTCCAAGACGGATACCCAGAGAACAAACAGAAAACAAACCAAGCATCCCTCTGGCAGGCCCGAGTTGAAGAACTGCTATTAATACAATACAATGGTTATTTCCACACAAACTGGCTGGAAGGTTGGAAAAGTGCAATTTCACGTGGGACGCAATTTGAAAACTACATGCTGGTTGTGAACACTGATGATGGCAGAGACTGACTTTGTCCCCCACGAAGTCTGTTAGATTGTGCCAGCAGCAGGCCTCCTCAGAAGGAGCAGGAAAATAACAAAGCTGAGCCACCCCTTTCATCTGCTGGACATCCACAGAGCAAAGAATACAGCATGATGGTGACCTGGAGTTTCCATATTAGGTCCAACTGTATGAAGTTGCCAACATTTGATGGTTTTTTGACCTACAAAGATGGCAATTCATACCTTACAGCTATCGATTGACAGAGCACAAGTTACCATTTACTGATGTCTGATATATGTGATCTCGCTAAGGCCATGCAGAACCCTGCCAGGTAGACAAAATCATCCCCATGGTCATATGGGGAAACAGAGGCATGCAGGTTCACTCATCAGTCCAAGGCTGTCTGGCTTGTAAGCAGTAGAAGTAGGATTCGAATCCAGGTCTGTCTGATTCTAGGGACCAAGCTCCTCCATGCCAGATGCATTTCTACCTCCCAGAAGTGTCAGCTCTCATAACAAGCTGAGAAAGGTGGACGGGTGCTCAACGGTGCGGAAATCCTGTTTTAAGAGGTGAGGCCGCCCCCCACCAGGGCATGTGGCGAGAGCTCACTAAGAAATATCGCTGCACAAGTGAACATGCAGAATTAACGGCCTACCACTGAATTAATAATCAGATGAACATTATCAGCGATACATGAGTGCAAGAGAGTACACTGAGTGAGGAAGAGTCTGGGTTTCTGTGAAGGCCACTCAAAGAGAAGAAATCCTTGTCTACTCCATACCGGGAACAAACCAGTAACATACAGGGCTCAATGTGTGTCAAATCTTAGAATCTATTTTATTTATTTATTTTGTTTTTGTTTTTTTGAGATAGGGTCTGGCTCTGTCTCCCAGGCTGAAATGCAGAGAAACAGTCTCGGCTCACTGCGTCCTCTGCCTCCTGGGCTCAAGCCATCCTCCCACCTCAGCTTCTCAAGTGGCTAGGATTACAGGCGTGTGCCACCATGCCTAGCTAATGTTTTTAACTTTTAGTAGAGATGGGGTTTTGCCATATGGCCCAGGCTGGTCTCAAACTTCTGAACTCAAGTGATCCACCCGCCTCAACCTCCCAAAGTGCTGGGATTACGGGCGTAAGTCACTGTTCCCAGCCAGGAATCTATTTTAAATGCACAACCAATTTAGGAAAAAGATTATTTTATATTGCCTCTTTCGTATAGAGCAGTGTTTTTGTTTTTGTTTTTTTTTAGATGGCGTCTTGGTTTGTCGCCCAGGCTGGAGTGCAGTGGCGTGACCTTGGCTTACTGCAACTTTTGTCTACCAGGTTCAAGCGATTCTTCTGCCTCAGCCTCCTTAGTAGCTGGGACTATAGGTGCACACAACTATGCCCAGCTAATTTTTTGATGTTTAGTAGAGATGGAGTTTCCCCATGTTGGCCAGACTGGTCTCAAACTCCTGACCTCAAGTGATCTGCCTGCCTCAGCTCCCCAAAGTGCTGTGATTATAGGCGTAAGCCACCTTGCCTGGCCAGAGCAGTGATTCTTAAAAGTGTGTGAGTGTGTGTGTGTGTGGGTGTATGTGTATGGGTGTGTGATTTTGTTTCCTATGGGACATTTGGCAATGTGTGGATACATTTTTGGTTTACACAGTTTGCAGGGTTAGGAGGTTACTACTGGCCTTTAGTGGGTAGAGGCCAGGGTGCTGCTGAACACCTGCAGTAAACAGGATAGCTCCCGTAGTAAAGAACTACCCAGCCCCAGCCCCAAACGTGGCCCCTCAACTACGGTACTACTGCTGAAATATTTTGCGATAGAAAATGTCAATCTACAATGAAAATTAAATCACAAAATGGGGGCTGGTGTGGTGGCTCACGCCTGCAATCGCAGCACTTTGGGAGGCCGAGGCGGGTGGATCACCTGAACCAGGAGACCAACCTGGGCAACAAGCAAGACCCTGTCTCTACAAAAAATACAAAAACCAGTCGGGCGTGGTGGCATGCACCTGTGGTCCCAGCTGTGTGGGAGGCTGAGGTGGGAGGATCCATTGAGCCTAGGAAGTTGAGATTGCAGTGAGCTATGATCATGTCACTGCACTCCAGCCTGCAAGACAGAGGGAGACTCTGTCTCTAAAACATAAAAATCAAATCCAGTCACAAAATGGATCTAACTCCAGTTAAAACGGTTGATGCTGAAATGCTATTTTCTTCTTCTTTTTTTTCTTGAGACAGAGTCCCACTCTATTGCCAGGCTGGAGTGCAGTGGCGTGATCCTGGCTCACTGCAACTTCCGTTTTCCAGTTTCAAGCAATTCTCCTGCCTCAGCATCCCGAATAGCTGGGACCGCAGGCACGCACCACCATGCCTGGCTAATTTTTTGTATTTTTAGTAGAGACGAGGTTTCACCATGTTGGCCAGACTGATCTCGATCTCTTGACCTCGTGATCCGCCCACCTTGGCCTCCCAAAGTGCTGGGATTACAGGCTTGAGCCATCGCACCCTGCCAATGCTCTTATTTTCTAAAGCCGCTTGTTGCTAGCCCTCTATCAAGGTCCTCAGCAATAGGTACAACAGCTAAAAGAGAACCCTCAGCTGGAAGCTTGAAGTGGGCATGGAGAGTGCTCTGCTTACCAGATCACAGCAGAAGAGTGTGGCTCTGACACACAGAGTCCCCCAGCATTTCTGTATTTCCCTTTGCTAATGAGCAACACATGTGTTTTCATTTTCTCGGTTCCTCTGAAGCTAGCCAGCCGTGGTGATACGATGAATCACTCCTCTGCCTTACTCGGGAGTATGCATGGTCGCCAGGGCTTTGCTGTGCATCAGTCTTACTTCCAGGCCACATCTATATGGGGGAAGTCTAGGGGTCTTCCCAACCCTACCTGACCTCCTCATGAACTCAAGTATTTTTATTCAAGGCATGACTGAAAATGCAGATAATGTAAGATTATGCAGTGTGATTCCTAGGTAGAGAGGCAATTTTGCATCTCATATAATGCAAAAATTAAAATAATTTTCCAACTGTTCGTTGAAGACAAAGTTAGCTCTTTTTCATGGTGACACAGGGTTGTGGAAGTTTCCCAACAAAAGGGACGTGTGCGGGTCTTCCAGCTCTGAGCTGCCAGGGCTGAGCAGTGGGCAGTAGGAAGTACATTCCTGCTCTGTCAGAAACGTCTCAAACCTCTCTGAGAATTTGCTCATGAAATAAGACTTCCTGAATTTGGTTCAGTTGGCCTATGGCTGACTACCAGATGCTCTTCTTTAGCAAAGCCCGATTTTAGAAAATCTAACTAAGCCAGAGCATGGTGTGTGCTTACGTGCGCTCTTGAAAGCTTCCTTTTTCCCCAAGGATTCATTCATTCCAACTTCAAATAGCCAGCACATTAAATAAAATAAAAAAAAAATTTGACTGACACCAAACTTTTCAGAAATTCTTCTAAAGTCACTAGGTAACTTCTGCAAATGTTGGGTCCCCTTGAATTATTTAGAGACTTAATACCTGGGTGACAAAATAATCTGTACAACCCCCTGCACGACACATTTACCTATATAACAAACCTGCAGAGGTACCCCTGAACTTAATATACAAGTTAAAAAAAAAAAAAAGGAAAGGTGAAGCAGAAGAAAGAAAGAGAGAGACAGCAGCGGGGAAGAGGCGCTGGGGCGTGTATCTGTATCCCTGCCCTCCTCTCGCCAGCTCCAGCCCTCTCAGCCCTCTTCATGTTCCCCGTTAGAAAAGCAAAGGAACAAACAGTCCTGAATTCAGAGGACTGGAGGTCAGGGTTCTGGCTGCAGGATAGAGAGAAGAGGCTGGGAGCCTCCCGGAAGACGGGTGCTTCTGTGTAGAGTCACTTCAATGTGATGCTGTCCAAAGGGTTCACTTGCCTCTTAAGGTGCCTTCTAGCTCCTCTCATAATAATTTGTTCTTTTATATTGAACTGTCATGAAAATAAAATATCTAACATAAATGTCTAGGGGTTATTTTATTTTATTTACTTTATTTTATTGAGATGGAGTTTTGCTCTGTCGCCCAGGTTGGAGTGCAATGGTACGACCTCAGCTCACTGCAACCTCCGCCTCCTGGGTTCAAGTGATTCTCTTGTCTCAGCTTCCCGAGTGGATGGGACTGCAGGTGCACATCACCATGCCTGACTAGTTTTGTATTTTCATTAGAGACAGGGTTTTACCATATTGGTCAGGCTGGTCTCGAACTCCTGACCTCAAGTGATCCACCCACCTCAACCTCCCAAAATGCTGAGATTACAGGTGTGAGCCACCACACCCAGCCATGTCCAGGGATTTAAAAGGAACACTGCAAGAGCCCTCAACTCAAAGCCAGGGTTCCAGAGACCAGCCATGACACCGCAGAGTTAGAATTAGAATTCCAGATTAGAAGTATCACTCCCCGAAACCTGTGTCCATTCTGACTCCATTCTGTCAGAATTCTTACTAGAAAGAAGAGATGAGTTTTTTGAAGGACCAGAGAGTTAGAATTTCACAAGAGATGAAGCAAGCTGACATGATCCGAGAACGGTGATGGTCCCCCGAGGACTCTGGGACCAAACTCGTCTGGTTGCGGCTTGAGTGTACACCCGCAGCCAGCCAGGTGCCGGAAAGTTTGCGCAGGTTCTCAGCCTGGCTGAGCATCCTTCCAGAAAGAGATGAGATTTTGATGTCTAAGATGAAAAATCTCTAGAGAAAACTCAAGAGGCAGTTTTCAGGAGATGCCCGCTTCTGAGCTGGGATGGAAAGGTGTCTGCTGGTCTCGGGACCCTGTCTCCTGCCACCCAGGCTTGGG